TGTGTGAAAGGGTAAATGTGGCACGTAGTGTAAAAAGCGATTTGAGACTTCCGGTCTGTGCGGAGCCATGTGAAGACGTGTTTGAGTCGAGCTCTTCGGTACACTATTAAAATTTCAAGAACAAAGCTTTAACTTCAGTGCACATTTGACCTGGACTGGGGCAATTTCTGTCTTTGTTCGACTGAGAGAGTAAATAGCTGTGTATCAGTGAACTACTTTCAAGAATGCCTTAACATAAGAATGTCGAAGCCCAAGAAGCTAACGACAATGCTAATGCTAGCGCGCAACAAGCAATACTAGCAGCCATCAGTGAACTCCGAGAAGAAGTTATGGGAAAAATTTCAAGTACTGCATCTGCCCACTCGGACCAACTTCGCGGGCTACAGGACACCGTGGAAAGGTTGGGTGCCACGGTGGAAGCTACAGCGAGCCGGGTAACAGAGTTGGAGTCTGCGGTGAGCGGCCATTCTGATGCTATTAGCACCCTGGAGGCAGAGATGCAGGCAGTGAAGAGAGAGATGTCTACTCTAAAGGAGCGGTGCGAGGACCTGGAGGCTAGGTCTCACCGCTGCAATGTCAGAATAATGGGAGTGAAAGAGGGACGGGAGGACGGCGAAAGAATGTCTAACTTTGTAGCACGTCTGCTGAAAGAGGCACTGGCCCTCGACAAGCCACCGCTCTTGGACCGAGCGCACCGCAGTCTCCGCAGCAAGCCCACGGCTGAGAACGCACCACCCCGGGCGATAATTGTTCGATGCCATTACTTTGAGGAAAAATAAGCTATTCTTCGCAAGGCAACGGAGCGCTGTCCAATTACAACAGCAGTGAGTAGGCAGCGGGCGGCTTTTACTGAAATAAGGGCGCTGCTGCGAGGCTACGAGCGAGTCCGTTATGGTCTTCTGTTCCCGGCCACACTGAGGATTACCACCCCGAACGGGAAAGAAGTCCGCTTCAAAGATCCGGGACAGGCTAAAGACTTCATAGTGAAAAACCTGACGCCAAAAGTGGACTAAACATAAAAGATGGTGAGAGGCACTCTCTTTTCTCCTTCTCTCATTCTCAGTTTTGGGTCAAATTGTGAACAATCAAACTGCATTATCAGGTGAGTATATATAATATAAGGTATTTATACCCCGTTTGAGCTAGGCTGTCATGGTAAGCTCGTTCACTTTATATTTTAAGGCAATTGAGCCGGATTTAGACTAGGATTAATCTTGGTCTTTTTTATTTATTTATTTATTTATTTTTTCGGTGCTGTTCCGTTTGGTTGGTAATGTATTTGGGGCCATTGTTTATGGCATGTGAGGTTTTGAATATGTTGTCCGAAGTCAATGGTAGAAGAATGTATTGCACACCTTTTTATGTTTGTTTGCCTTTTTATGTTTTGCTTTTCCTTCACACTTTCTTCACTGGGTCATGTATATTGTGCTGGGGTCTTTACTTCTCTCAAGTATATGTTACAGTAGGATGGCTGGTTTCTGGGTCAGACGGATCAAAGGACATGCAGGAGGGGAGAAGTTCGGGTTTGTTGACAACATCGAATAGGTCATTCTTACTATGACTACGTGCAGTAATATGGTAATATGTGCAGATTACATACAAAGTCAATGCAAATATGCACATAAATGTAAATTTGTGCAGGGCGACACGAATGACATGAATTGGGTAGTGGTAATGCCAAGAAATGAAGTTTTATAACTAAGTTCGGGAGACCACGCCCTGCACTTATCTCATTTCCACTCAAAACATACTTAAGCACACCTTATCCGTTCACTCCCTCCTCATTTTCCACATGATCGGCGTCAGACAAACACAAAAAACGAAAACTTCTCCAACTTTCCACGCATTTCCAGGAAAGCACCACACTTCCTCGCCGGACTTCACTGCCGCTTCCGGGTTCCAGGTGTCGCGTCCACAGCAACGCCGATGGCGTCACGGCCCAGCCGTCCTCATTAGCCCTCTCAGAGGGCTATCTAACCCAGTACCTGCGATTTCAGCTTCACAAACAACCCAAGCACAGGCATGCCTTCATCCCAGCATCCTTTTCCCTTCTCTCATTTCTAACTTCCCTGTCCTGTCTTCTTCGGCTGCCTCTGCTCCTCCCATTCAACAACGACCTTCTCAGCCGCACAGAGCAAGCTCCCAGCCAAAAACCCCTAATTCTCCTCCCGTTTCTTTATATTCATTTAACGCACCTCCTTTTAGCTCCACATTGCCCAATCGTGGGCTTTTCCACCCGTCCTCCCATGGATAATAATTTCACAATAGCCTTTGCATTACCTCCAGCACACCCAATCCCCCCTATCATCCCCTGTGTCACCACTCTCAGACGACAGATTCTCGCCTCTCACTACATCGACATCGACATCGCTATTTAATTTAATTTAACAGCTAATAGTTTTATTTCAGTCAACACTGTAACATTACTTTACAGACGTGTACGCGTCGACCTCGCCATTCAATGCATTAGTCCACATGCAACCCTCATATCCACAGGGAACCGCTAACCATACTCAGTTCAATCGAACGCAAACAGCCACTAGTGGCAAAAATCAGGGAACTTACAGGGGTTCATTAGATCCAGAACTCTACCACCGTGCTCTTGCCTAAATCGCAGCCAACGCGGTACGGTGCCCCATCCCATCCCACCACGCACCTTCACAGCTTCTTTGCCTCAGACCTTACCTCAAAATCAACATAGCCCCGCCATTTTCAGCTGTATGCCCCCCATCCATCACCCCCAAATCCGCAAACGTTCGACCACGGCCCTCGTTCCAAGGGCGTCGACAAGAGAAACAAACAAGTCCTCTACCATGCCAAAAGGACGGTTCATAACAATTCCAACAACCTCAGAAGCAACGTCTCCAGTTGCCGTTTGCTCCTCACATTCTCCTTCTGTGGCGGAGCACGCGCAAGATCCGCCTGTCCCCATAATCCAACCAAGCATCCGAATACACCAATAAATATCAACGCTCTCGCCACCGCCTCGAAGAACCACCCATATCGACAGTTCGTTAACCACCTCATAAAAAGATTTACACACGGTCTTTATCTAGGTTTACAGGGGACACCAGATTCCTCCTACATGCCACAACTTACAGCAGCCACTTCCGAGCCCGACATAGTTGATAAACTCCTGGATAGAGAAATTAAAGACGCATTCACGATCGGCCCATTCCCCAGTCCACCGTTCCCTACATTCGGAATCAATCCAACCCACGTCGCTCGACGAACAATGCATGCAAATCAATGTGGACATTGTATTTATGATATCTCTACAGGCAATAATTATAGGTAGTGTGTTCAACATCTTGAAGATTCTAACAGGTTACTCTAGCCAAGAAATTAAACAGACCCTTGGGGCTTACTGTACAATTCACTAAAGATAAACCTAACAACTACCAAGTGCCAAGATCAATAAGAGGAGAGCTGCCGTGAACAGACGTGGCTAGTGTGGTATTCGACTCTAGGACTATTCAGTCAGGTGCTGCACTGAGAAAGCAGGGTAGGCGTCTGGATGAAGGCAGTTAGAAGCTAGGTGTGTCTCCTCGCCACCAGCTTAAAGACCTGGCAGGGTAATACCCACAGGCTAGAGGATCAGACACTTTGAACAGAGAGCTGGTCCAGTACCACCTATACGGAGGTAACTCAGGATCTAACAGAGCATATCTCACATACATCTGTTACAACCTAAATGATATCAAAACGCCATGCTTATGAGTCGATTCAAAGTCTCTTTGGGGGCTCTCTACAAGAGATACGAAGAGCACACATACCACTCCCCCACTGAGAGTCTCACAACCCATTTGGTTCCCTCTTACATCGCGCCGAACCCCTACATCCATTCATCCATCCGGCAACAAACCTTCATTCCTCGACCTTCATTCCTCGTCCTTCTTTCCTCGATCTTCATTCCTCCATCCCTCATCCCTCATCCCTTCATTCCTCAACCCTCGACCCCAACTCACATCCCTTTATCCCTCATCCCCCATCCCCTCATCCCTCAGTATACCATCGGTTTACATTTTTTCTTATTTCATACATTCATGAAGTGGTCTTTTGTTGTTGGAGCTGAAAATATTGATCGATATTGCACATTTTTTGGGGGAGTTTTTGCAGTTGTACTATCATCAAGTTTGCATGACTCAACCATCAGCATCATGATCACCAGCTGACACAAACTTCCATCTGAACATAAGCAAACATTTTTTTGAGAAACAGAAACCAAATGGATTTTGGTGTAGACCATGGACAACATCAGAGCAACATCTGTAGAGCAGCACTGGCAGGCTCCTTACCTCTGCATACTGTACCATTCTCCACCGCCTCATACCCAGCTTTGCACATGCAGCGCCCGATGGGTACCATCCACTCCCCATCTCCATTACAGTACAGCTTGATAGGTACATCCACCTCCTCCCCATTGGGAACACACACCCCTCTGGCTGCCACCAGAGAAGTGCTCTCTGCTCCAGACAGAGTCTCAGGAAAGACAGCTCCATTCTGGATCACACTAGGACACTTCCTGTAGTAGACTCGAACAGCAATAAGTGACATGCAGGCGCCATAATCCTGGAAAGCGAGGTAGAAACCATTGCGCGAAACAGGTCCAAAACTCCGAACTTCACTGTTGATCTTCATGATGCGGCCACCAAGGTCAACTTGAGAGAAGCTTTCATCAGCTGCTATAGTGTCCACTTTCACCCAGGGGTTCTCCATCCAGGATGGGGACGATTTAGTGGCTGTGTCTGAGTCCGACTCATAGTAGTACAGGTTGAAGGTTTCCTTGCAGGAGCCAGGGACATTGGGTATGGAACTGCAGTCGCGTACTGAGAACTTCATCTGAACATGGATGCGCTGAGCCCCACGGCGGCGGATGTATTTGGTGCGTACCCAGTTGTTCTGGCTGCTATCGAAGACATTGCACACCTGGTATGTTCGGATGGTGTTCATGTTTTCATCATAGCCGCTAACTTCTTCCCACTAGAACACAGACAACAAACAGAACCATTGATTCGGGGCCACATCACAAATGCGCAAAAACAAACAGTGACAGTTATTCTTACAGGTTCTCCAGCCTTACCAACAAAAAATTACCACTATGACCATTATGTGCTGTGGGTAAAAAGCAACTTAACAGCAGCGGAAATTCTTGTTTCTGCTGACCTCCAGTGGTATAACTTCCAGTCCTCAGTAAGAGCTTTGATCTGGCCCAAAAAATTATGCCCAACCCGACCCAAGCCTAAAAAAAATTCTGTGCAAGCCCGAACAGGAGTCCAAACCATGGAAGCAGTTTTGGGCCTGAGCCCAACCTGAACCCGAATCTCCACTAAGTAAAACTTTAATAATAGTAATACTAGTTTATTACAAGCTACATTGTGCATTTAATATATACCCAGCCCAAACCCGGCGGGTTGCGAACACAACCAGTATGTGCAACACACTTTGAACCAGAGAAGGCAGTGAAACATGACATTTCAGCTGAAATGTTAAATTCTCCTTAAGGTTTGGTTAAATTGTGTAGCAGAACTTAGTTTTAGGGATGCACAATATGATTTTTTTTTCAGCCAATACGATAACCGATAGTTATCTGCTTCTCATGGCCCAAAATGACAGACAATTCCACATTTTGTATTTTAAAAAGAAAGTTCATAACATGAAGCTTGCATTGCAACTCAGCTCCTAAGCTTCCCTCTCCTAGCATAAAACGACAGCAGCATTGGCTGCAGTTTTAAATGTCTACATTTCAGTTACCCTCACTGCTTAAAACAGAATATGATACCTTTCTGCTCTACTTATCAATTGAGACATTCTACACCTGTCTTTTTTTCTTTTCCTGTAGTGTCTAAGTCAATAGCTTAGAAATCCTTCATGTTTAAGCTCCCTCCCTCCCTAAGCTTCAGCCCAACCCAATCTGTAAAACCTGAGACAATAGTGTCCCTGAACTTGAAATCAGAGCATCAACACAAGTTGTTCCATGGACAGTGAGATACTGAGTAATGGTCCTTTCGTTTAATACATATCAACCAAAATCTGATGTGTGTGCTGTCAATCAAAGGATGTTCATATTTTCGAGTGAAGCCACCGCAGCTTCTATAACATTGTAATACAACAATTGTAAATATATATTGGCTGCGTGTTTTACACACTGTTCCTAGTGTCTTGCTTTGTTCCACCCACCCCCTGTGATGGGTAGATGGTCCAACCCAGTTCTGCTGTTGCTGTTGTTGAATCCATTAGTACCTCTGCGGAAGACAAAAATAAGAAGGTCAAAGTTATAAAATATAAATCAAATCAATATTTATAACATGATAGACAGTTCTAAAATGTGGCATTTATGTATATTTCTGTTTTAATTAATAATTAAATTAATTAAAACTGAATTATCATGTTATTTATTTTTTCATTTTATTTTGGCAGTTGTGGTCCTCCAAAGATCACATCCACAATCCCCTACATGTATTAAGACATATATACAAATAGTCTGTTTGTAAAAATAATGTGTGTCTGATATGTCTTTTTACGCAAAAAAAAGTATAATTTCCTACTCCTTCTACCTCATCAAAAATGAAAAATTCCACAATCTATAAATAATCAAATGTTGCTAATTTCTTAAGTTTTCCTGCTGGATATAAGATGTCTCCTACTTCACTGCGATGTTCATTGTCAGTGGATGTGCACTGTTGGCTTCAAGTTTCTACATCACACTGTACAAGTTGCATACTGAACCAGGACTGACTTCCGAACTAATTGTGATGTCACAAATCATGCTTGTAGCCCTGCCCCTGAAAATCAGATTTTCAGTGAGCAGAGAAACTTTCCACTTCCAGATGAATGCGAAAACATTACAGCTGTATGTTTACAGCTTAATTATTTGTCTAGCTGTAAACGTACAGCTAGACGGAAATGTATTATTTGTTCCGCCCGAATGTTTCACGGCGCTGGGGTGAAACTTTGAAAACTTGCCCGCGAAAGAGAATGCCGTTTCCACTGTTGTTGTCATAATATTTCGGAATTGTCGGACTTCATAAGGTTCTGAATCGACGTTAAGGGTCACGATTGCATTCCCATTCAATTCAATTCCGAAAGTTCAATTCAATCTGCTCTAAATAATGAAACATGGGCAAAACAAAAGAAACTGAAATCACTAACTTACCAGCCCGATTCTCCGGGCGGCGCCATAAAGGTAGACAGGCAGGGCCATTGCATCTTTTTGTTTGCAAAGGATTTACAGACCTGTACTTCGCGGTAGTGGAAAGAGCGAAGGCTTCAAGGCGGCCTGCATTCAGGTGCTTGAACTACCACCTACGTTATCGGGTGCACGGAGAATCGGCTTGGCTAATGTGTAGTGAATCTCCTCAGTTTCTCTTTGGCGTTGGCTTGTTGCGCATCGGAAGCCCTAACTTAGCGTACGTGCTGACTATTGCTCAACGTGGTTCTCTGCAGGTTTTGTAGGTTTGCTACAATTAACTGAGGCCTCCGCTTGGCCAA